CACTGGTAATAGAAGCATTGAGGTGCCAGTTGAGCAGGAGGGGAAGTTGGTCCAAAAAGGTATAAAGTTCTGTTTGGGCCACAGGGTTGAGAAGATGACTTCGAGACATAATGTCATATGCCCATAGAAGGTTTTTGTGGGGAATGTCACTTCGAAAGACCTCAAAGGATAAATAGGAGAAAGTAGCAAGCAGGGTCTGAGCCCTACATTGCTGATAAATGGTTGGAGGCATTGGAGCCTGATAAGGGGTGAAGTATTCGCTTTCAGAGAGAGTAAGCCTCAACTCGTCAATCCAATTTTGATTGGGCAGTAAGGAAAGAGCAATTGGAGCTTTTTTGAACGAAGCTGGGAACTCAGGTCTGCTCACACACTCCAACCAATCGAAAGAGCAAAGTTTTACCCTTTTGGCTAGGATGACAGGACTGATTCCTAGGGATTTATCAGGGTGTGCAACCTCTCGCACCATTCGAGACGATAGGGTAGAAGTGTACCATGCTGAAAGGAAGTTATCTTCAAGACTGCGTAAACGGTCAAAGAGAACATATGGGTATACTACGAAACTATGTTTAGAAGGGTGTACTGATGAGGATCATTGAACTCGGAAAACTGATGGTGAATACGCTTCCTTATTTGAGGTCGAACAGGAGTAGGCCAAGCTCCCCAGTCAGAAGTCTTAGAGGAAGAAGAGGCGGCAACCTCATCCCATGCAGAAGGTTTTGCTGTAGAGGAAGAGCTTCCAATATCCATGGTTACAAACTCTTGGTCCAAAGAATTGTAAGCAATAGGTTCTTGGTCCAAAGGTCGATGATTTGCAAAAGCCTCCATGACTTGCATAAATGGAGGTGGATAGGTGTGGCTAATGCATGAAGGTTCTTTCGAGGACGAACAACATTATTAAACAACTTTTCGTATGCTTGATCAATGTAAGAAAATGTTTGTTTGGCCATGAGAGCTGTATCAGTCTTTTCGAATACTCAGGAAGTGGGAGATGTTCGAAGAATAAGAAGAAAATTTAATGCAGTAAAAATGTTGCAATGATGGGCGACGGTTGCATCCTTAAGAAGATGAAGAGCCCATGCATGTCCTAGTATGTGGGTGAAAGTGCCTTGATCCACTAATATCACCAAGTATTGGGTATATTAGTGCGGGGGGTAATGTTGGCCACATATTTTGTATAAGCCAATCACAGCTTAACACGTGGCAAGATGAGGGCAATATTGGGAGTTAATTCAAATCTCCAATCGCAATCAAATACGTGGCAGTTAGCGTTGGTTATCATGGATCCGCAGAGCACTGGAACAGCGAAAAGATACAAGATGACGTGGCCTAACGGTTACTCATACATTTAAATTCAAAATCATGAGGGAAGCCTAACTACAAAAAGTGGCGTAGTGGATTTGACTATGAGGCAGCATGTTCAGCGATAATAGACGGACTGTTCAACGGTTGGAAGCCCATTTCGACGGTTACCACAAGATAGTATAAATAGCAGAAAAGGCCCCAGAGTAAAAGACTCAGACTCAGATCTAGAAACCAGTTTATTTACTTCGTTTTACATTTCCAGTTCTTTACATTTCCTCCATTCATTGCTAGCAAGTTAGAGCAATTAAGATATTCTTAGAACTCATTTGGGAACTTAATTTTTTTAGTGGGTTTTTAATTTTTTACTTTTTTTATTAGGTGAAAAAAGATGTGTTTAAGAATGATTATTTTTAATTGAATAAATAGTTGTGAGAAAAAAAATAATTAATTGATGTATACTATATATCACCCTTTATTGTTGGGGTTGAATTTTTGGCTTTTTGGTGACGACCCTTAAATAACACAATAAACTACGAACAAAGAAAAATAACAAATTATATCAGTAATTCCTACATTTTGATCTTTATATTATTTTGGTCTCTATTATTTAAATTAACTCAATTTCCACCTTTAATCTTAAATTTTGTATCAATTTGGTCTAATTGATAATGTTGATTAGGGTTTTTGAAAGGAAAATAGTCACTGAGTTTGCTCAGATTAACTCATTAAAGTGAATAATTTACAATTTTCCTATAAAAGCATGACACATGATATGCTTATGTGTGTATTTTTTATTTAAAAAATAATCAAAATAAAAATAAATTAGATCAAATTTAGACAAAATTATAAATTTTGAATTAAAATCAAATCAATTAAAATTACAGAGAACAAAATAATATGATGACCAAAATGTAGAAATTGCCAGTGTAATTTACCACACAAAAAATCAAAAAAACCAAAAACAATCCCTAGTCTTTGGCTTTATAAATACACAACTCAAAATTCTATTCAAAACTCTTAAAAAATGTTTAAAAATTCAAAAAAAAAATTATTGAATATATAGAAATTAACATGTGTTAATTGCACAAAAAAAAAAAAAAACTATTCCAGTCAACCGGTGGGACGACCGGTTAGTCCAAATTTTTTCACATTGGATAGAATTTTTAAAGGTGAGTGGAATTAATTTTAAAGAATTACAAACAAACACCGTGTGTAAAAGAGAGCTTAGAACTAACATTCTAGAGCTCTACCAAATAAAGCCAAAGTTTAAACAAAGTTGAAGCGACTTGTGTGCCTTTATTGTCTTCAACCAAAGGGGTCTTTTCTTTTATTTATTTATTTATTGTTCAAAAACAAAAACTCTAGCCATTAAAATGATAGTTAGGGTTACGTTATGATCACGTGTCTGTCCATATGAAATTTGAAATTTGGTAAACATATTTTGGATTGATTTTGGTAATTCAAAATTATTGACTTTTTAAAATTTATTGAGTAAAATATTTATACAAAAACTAAGATTATCAAAAATTGATAATTATATATTTAAATTGTGTTTATATTATTAAAAATTTGTAAATATTATTATAATTATATTTGTTGTACATATTTTTAACACAAAAGTAATTCCAACATATAATTATTGATATCCGTTCATCTTTATTTTTTGTATAAATATTATACTCAATAAATTTTAAAAAGTAAACGATTCGAATGATAAAGTTCAATCCCCACTAAACCTAACCCATGATAACATATTTATTTTGATTGAAAACCATGTATACCTAATTGAGCTCAGCAATGAATTTTAGTCAAGGTTGCAATATTAATATATAAAAAAAACGAATCAAATCATGCGAGAGACATTTCCCTTTCATACCTACTATATAAAATAATCAAATTATATAGCTAATCAATTTTAGGGATAATTAAAAATAAACAAATTCGTCTTTATAACAAAATAAATCTTAAATTTTTAATTTTATAAATTTAAATCTGAATTTTTTTGATTTGTTTCAATATAAACCATTTAGCTATTTTTATTAGATAAAATTGATGAAAAAAATAATATTTTAACCATTAAACTCAATATAATTATACACAAAATGTCTAAATACCATTTTTTATTGAGTTTAATCACTAAAGTACTTTTTTTTTTATTAAAATTTGTACGAATATTTTGGACTGATTTTGATAACTCAAATCGCTCATTTTTTTAAAAATTTGTTGAGTAAAACATTCATACAAAAAACCAAGATTATCAGACATCGGTAATTATATATTTAAATCACGTCTATATTATAAAAAATTTATAAATACTCTTGAAATTATATTTATCATACATATTTTTAACACAAATATAATTCAAACATATAATTACTGATATCCGTTCACCTTTATTTTTATTATAAATATTATATTCAACCATTCTTAAAAAAAATGAACAATTGAATAATGGAGTTCAATACCAAAATGGGCTCACAAAACGTACTAGCTCTCTCACGTTGAAACCCGTGAGACATATTTATTTTGATTTAAAACCAGTGTATACGTTATTGAGCTAAGCAATTAATTTTAGTCAAGGTTGTAATATTAAAAAAAAAAACACACACACACACACACAAATCAAATCATGCGAGAGGCATTCCCCTTTCATACCTACTATATGAAATAATCAAATTATATAGATAATCAAATTAGTGGTAATTACAACAACACAACAAAAAATCTAGAGTTTAGCTTTTTTAACAAAGTAAATCTTAATTTTTTAATTTTATCAATTTAAATCTTAATTTTTGAATTTGTTTCAATATAAACCATTTAACTATTTTCGTTAAGTAAAATTGATGAAAAAAAATAATATTTTAGCCATTAAACTCAATATAAATGTATATAAAATGTCTAAATATCATTTTTTTTTTATTGAGTTTAATAACTAAAGTACTCTTTTTTATTGAAATTTGGTATGCATATTTTGGACTGATTTTGTTAATTCAAATCGTTCACTTTTTAAAATTTGTTGTATAAAATATTCATATAAAAAATCAAGATTATCAAACATTAGTAATTATATATTTAAATCACGTTTATATTATAAAAAATTTATGGATATTTTTAAAATTATATTTGTCGTACATATTTTTAACAAAAATGTAATTCAAACATATAACTATCAATATCCATTTATCTTTATTTTTATTATAAATATTATACTTGATAAATCTTAAAAAGTGAACGATTCGAATCACATAGTTTAATCTCAAAATGAGCCCACTAAACCTAACTACTCTCTCAGGTTTACACCCGTGATATATAACATATTTATTTTGATTGGAAACTGGTGTATACGTTAATGAGCTTAGCAATTAATTTTAGTCAAGGTTGCAATATTTAAGAAAAACAAAACACAAAAAACAAAAAAAACAAGTCAAATCATGTGAGAGACATTTCCCTTTCATTCCTACTATATAAAATGATCAAATTATATAGATAATCAATTTTAGGGGTAATTAAAAAAAATAAAAGTTATGAATTTTGACCTTTATAACAAAATAAATCTTGAATTTTTAATTTTATCAATTTAAACCTTAATTTTTTGAATTGTTTCAATATAAACCATTTTGATTTGTTCCATATCTCAAAATAAATAGTCCCAAGTCTTTGGCTCTATAAATACATATATTTGGATCTCCTTTGGTATATGTAAGTTGATCATCAGATTCGTTTCTCATCATAATAATATTCTATTTTTGACACCAAATGGAGCAAACAAATACTAAAAGTTTTCTCAACTGTCTATGCTTCATTTTCTTTTTCAAGAACTCTCTTGAACTGATTACCACTGCCAAGGGCAACCCGAGTCTCGTTCTCACCAATGAGACAGACCATCAGGCACTGCTTGCAATCAAGGATTTGATAACAGTAGATCCACTGGGTGCCTTAAGCTCATGGAATCATTCAATTCACTTTTGCAATTGGCAAGGAGTCTCATGCGGTCGTCGACATCAACGTGTGACACTCCTAAACTTGTCATCTCTCTCATTGGTGGGCTCTGTATCTCCTCAAATTGGGAACCTCACCTTCCTTAGGACGATTGATCTCCGTAACAACAGCTTTCATGGCGAAATCCCACAAGAACTTGGCAGGTTGTTTCATTTGCAGTACCTTCTGCTTTTGAATAACTCTTTCCAAGGTGAATTTCCTATCAATTTGACTCATTGTTCACACTTGAGACTTATCGATATGGGTGGCAACAATCTAGGAGGAAAAATTCCTACCGAGCTGGGTTCCTTGTCCAATCTCTCAAACTTGGTTCTTGGAGACAATCATCTCACTGGAACTATCCCACTTTCAATTGGGAACCTTTCCAATCTACGTGAGCTTTCTCTAGTGTACAATAATCTAGAGGGAAGCATTCCCACCCAACTTGGGCAGCTTTCCAAGTTGGAGTTTCTTCAGCTGTCAGAAAACAATTTGTCCGATATGGTTCCTACTTCACTTTACAACATCTCATCAATCTATTACTTCTCTATCGTTGCCAACCAATTGCATGGAATTCTACCACCAGATTTAGGCTTGACCCTTCCAAATTTACTAGGATTTTATGTCGAATTAAATCAATTCTATGGCCAAATTCCATCGTCAATAGCCAATGCTACGAGACTTGTGCAAATTGGTTTTACCAACAATTCATTCACTGGGCCCATGCCTATGAATCTGGGAACCCTTGACGCTTTAGAAAGTTTAGCTGCTTCTGGCAATTCACTTGGAACAAACCAAGGCAATGAATTAACGAGCTTCCTCACTTCTTTATCCAACTGTTCCAATCTACAAGTTCTGGATTTGTCTACGAATCATTTTAATGGTTTGTTGCCCCCTACTATTGCAAATCTCTCTACCAAGATCACTTGGTTCAATCTACAAGACAACTATATATCTGGAAGCATACCTCTTGGTATTGGGAACCTTGTAAATTTGCAAGCACTCTCTCTAGCTGAAAACATGCTTACAGGTAGTATTCCAAATTCCATTGGAAAACTTTCCATGTTGGAAACCCTTATCCTTAACACAAATAACATCTCTGGAGAGATTCCATCGTCTATTAGAAACCTAACCAGTCTTGGTGATCTTGACCTTTCAATAAATATGATTGAAGGAAGCATTCCTATTTCTTTAGGCAATTGCACCAATCTACAACAAATTTATCTTAATTACAATCATCTCACTGGAGCTATACCTTATCAAATCTTTGGTCTTACTTCCCTCAGAATTCTATTCTTAAGTCAAAATTACCTAACAGGGCTACTATCACAAGAAGTAGGTAACTTGAAAAATCTTGGTGGACTATATGTATTAAAAAATAAACTATTTGGAGAAATCCCCGCCACTCTCAAAAATTGTGAAGTTTTAGAATTCCTCTACATCGATGGTAACCTTTTCGAAGGTACAATTCCGATGTCCTTCAAACAATTGAAAGGTATTCAAGAACTAGATGTTTCTAGGAACAACTTGTCTGGACAGATTCCAAGGTTTCTAGGGGAGTTACGGTTCTTTCACTATCTCAATCTTTCCTACAATATGTTTGATGGTGAAGTTCCGAATAAAGGAGTTTTCACAAACATTAGTGCCTTCTCAGTTGTTGGAAATAGTAAACTATGTGGAGGAATTAAACTATTGCAATTGCCTACATGCTCGATTGAAGTCTTAAATGAAAGGAAGCGACCTTCCAGCCATAGAGTAATAGTTCTAGTAGTTACTCTCACTATTGTTGTATTATCATTGTGCATTCTAGCTATTCTTTACCAAAACAGAAGGTCAAGGCAGCAAGTCAATTTAGCCTCACCCTTGAAAAACCAATATCCACAACTCTCTTATGGAGAACTTTTTCAAGCAACAAATGGGTTCTCTCAATCCAACTTAATTGGTGAGGGAGGATATGGTTCTGTTTATAAAGGGATTCTCAACTCCGATGAACAAATTATTGCTGTGAAGGTGCTCAAACTACACGAACGTGGAGCGAACAAGAGTTTTGTTACAGAATGTGAAGCATTGAAGAACATTCGCCATCGAAATCTAGTCAAGATAATTACAGCTTGCTCAAGCATTGATTTTAAAGGCAACGGCTTCAAGGCTTTGGTCTTCGAGTTCATGGAAAATGGGAGCTTAGAAAATTGGTTACACCCAAGTCTTTTAGAGCAACATGAACCTAAGAACTTGAACTTTGTTCAAAGGCTAAACATTGCCATTGATGTGGCATGTGCATTGGATTATCTTCATCATCATTGTGAAATGGCTTTTATTCATTGTGATTTAAAGCCAAGTAATATTCTTCTTGACAGTGATTTGTGTGCCCATGTTAGTGATTTTGGCTTGGTAAAGATTTTTTCAGCAACCAATGGAATTTCTATTCATCAGCAATCAAGTTCAATTGGGATTAGAGGAACAATTGGCTATGTTGCCCCAGGTAATTGTTTATTGCTTCTTATGTTGAAATTGATTAAGAAATATTGTTTAATTACATTATATTATTATCATGCAGTGAACTAAAAACCAATTACGAGATTATATAGAAATTAAGCCATGTTTTAGAGATGACTTTCCTTGACTTTGCCTTATTGTTTGTATATCTACCACAACAAATTAAATCAATCATTGTCCTACCCCTATCGTATTTGAACATAGATTTTAACCATTGAGATCATTTTATCTTTTGAAGTGTTGAACATTTTTTTTTTCAACAAAAGAAATACAACTTACTAGTTCAACAATTATATCAAAATTAAAAATGTTGGGCATTTTTTTCACTATTTCATATTGCAGAGTATGGTATGGGTGAGCAGGTATCAACGCAAGGTGATATGTACAGTTATGGAGTGTTACTACTAGAAATGTTCACAGGAAAAGCACCAACTGGTAACATGTTTACAGGTAATGTAAACCTACATAGCTATGTAAAAATGTGTCTTCCAAAGCAAGTAATGCAGATCGTTGATCCCCAAATCATATTGGGAATGGAAGAGGAGCCAGGTAGGAGCATGCAAGGTAGTACAACCAACATTTCTAACCTAGAGGCTTGCCTAGTACTGGTCTTTCAAATTGGAGTTTCATGTTCTGCTGAAATGTCAAGTGAAAGAATGAGTGTGAAAGATGTTCTCAAAGAACTACACAAGATTAGAAATGTATTTCTTGGGGTTAGGGACAAAGGCATTAGGATGGAAGAAGAAATGATTCTTAACTAAAGCCACAATTGTGGGTTATTTTGATGTTCTAGAATTTTCTTTCATCTGTAGGTTATTTTGATGTTCTAGAGTTTTCTTTCCTTCACTTTTCTTCTCCCCCCTTCTTTCTTTTCTGAATCTATAAATGTTGAGTTAGAAAAGGCATGAAAGTCGTTGTACTTGTGGCATTGTCATCAAATATTTATAACTAGTCAAGGTTTCTATATGTTTGTATGTATGCCTTCTCTATCTAGTTTTGTCATAGTTTCATTTTTTGGTTTATGCTCTCAAGTAAATCTGTTGTACATAATAGAACTTGGCTCAAACCAAAACACTGATGCCATAGAAGCTAAAAGAGAAAAAAAAAAAAAAAAGATTTAGCGCATAATATGATGAATTATGAAGTTATCATATCACTCGTATAAATTATCGAGCAACGGAAAAAATGTTTCATTCATGTTGATTTCACTCTCATATATTAATCTAAATCTTAATCAATGTATAAAGCTAATGGGAAATATGAATAATCTTTATTATGAGGAAAACAAAAATTTACTAGTAGAAAGTGTAGAAAACATAAAAAAACACAATGCTAGCAACAATCTTCCAGCATAATAAAAAATCTCAAACTGCAAGTTAATATAAAAATAGCAACACAACGAAAACTCACAATGCAACTATATTAGGAAATAAAAAAATTTCGGTTCACCTAGCAATCTTCAATCTGCTGCACCACCAAAGGACTCCCTTTGTCGATTGAGAGGAAAAGGAGGGGTCTCTTCTCTGTCTCTCTCTTCGTTCTACATTGTTTTTGTTTTTTTGGACTTAATCAAAACGAGGTCATTTTGATTTTTCTTAATTTCAACCATTGGATCGAACTGTAGAGAGATCACTCTAGAGAAGGAACTCTGGAGGATTTGAACTCCCATATGAGAGATATGTAATGTAACCACTTTGTTGGAGAAATGAGACAACATGGTCATGGATTCATGTGGAAAATGGGTATACAAATAATTGTGTTGTGTATTAGTATATTTGATAATTTTACAAGAAATTGCAATTCAGTTCATGTTTTCAAAAATAAAATTAAATCAATGATAAATTTTCTCAAGTTTAATACTTAAAATGACAAACATTTTTATGAACTGTAAATATTTTGTGAAGGCACCATTGATTTATAATTTTCCCATTATTTTTTTCCCCCTCTCTCTACCTAATTCCAAAAACTTTCTACAAACAAACCGAATCACTCATAAATAGCTCGTGGTCGGTTCGTCCTACTAATGGTAGTTCTAAGGGTTGTCAATAAGATGCACAAAATATTAAAATATTTATAATCTTAAGGGTTGTCAGAGGATTGTTTAGAAAAGAAATTAAAAAAATTTAGCAGTTGAGCTGTCAATTTGGGGAAAAAAATAAATAAATAAACATCGCATATATGGATTGAAAGTCATGAATGAAACCTTGGTAATGGATGAGGCAACCAAAATTGAGGATGTAACCAGTTAATGGTATTGTCTTCTTCTTATTCCTATTAGGCTTATCCTAAAGAATTCCTATAAGGCTAACTAAGACCTATATAAAGAATGAGCAGAATAAGATATTAAGGATATAGTCTTCTCTCTCTTCCTCCAATGAACAGACACTCGAACTTGCAGAATTCAATCTCTCAAGCTAAGTATTCCCTTTCTTTGATTCATACACCCTACGTGATCATCTACTTTCTTCCAGTGGAGAAGGGACAGACCTTCCCTATCTAGTCGAATAAGTCAAAGAGATTTTCTTGGGGAAATTGCAAAAAAAAAAAAAAAAAAAAAAAAAAAACTATGGTTTGACCCTTATAAAAAAAAAATAAACTGAGTTTTTAATTTTATTAATTCAAATCCTAAACTTTTGATTTATTTTCAATCTAAACCATTTGCCTTTTTCATTTAGTAAAACTGACAGGAAAAATGTATTTTAATCATTAAACTCAACGAAAAATGGTATTTTAGACATTTTATGTACACCTACAATGAGCTTAATGTCTAAATTGAAATACCCTTTTTCAATTGGTTTTACTTAATGAAAATTGACTTATGGTTTAAATTGAAAACAAATCAAAAGATTAGGGTTTAAATGGACAAAATTAAAAACTTAAGTTTTATTTTGTTGCAAGAGTCAAACTCCGGTTTCTTTTTATAATTTCTCCTTCTTTCTTTCTTCTTTTTCTTCTTTTTTTTTTTTCAATGAGTTGATTATAGAAATCATTAGATATCCCCGCTTCAATGTGCTGTTATTTACAATTTGGGGTTAATGATGTATCGCTGAGTGATCATGTATTACAATAAAGGACAATTTGTTAAGCAGATTTAGGCTGCGAAGAATTTCAATTGGAATTGAATATGTAATCTACTGATTTATTGTTATTCTATTTCCTTTTGCACATCATCCTATGATTTATGAACAAGGGGACAATAGTGTTCAATGCTTATGCAATAATTTGATATCAATTTGGCTTCAATTTTGTTGGCTTTGAGCATGGACCATAGTTTTTAATGTTTTTTTATGTGGAGTTTCTGCAAACTGCATCAGGCTGACTGGGGAAAATGATTTCCGGTTTAATCAATGCCAATCCCATTGTCTACGAAGAAAAGGAGCATCGAACTAGAACTGCACCGGATGATGTTGACAAGTATGATGTGGAGCCCATTGACCAACTAGAAATTTTTGATATCCTTTGAGTTTGATTATTACATTTGATGCTCTGTCATATCCACTGTGTTTTGTCCGTTATATATCTCACAAATTGTAGGTTTCTTTGCAAAGCTTGGTGTTGATATTAAAATTCACTTGTAAGAGTACTAGAATTTAGAAAGGAATATGTAGTTTAGACATGTTGATCAAATCGAACTACATGGGTGAAGTTCCTATTCAGCAAAGTTTTGCTGCTTGTCCATATCTCTTAGACAAAGGGAGCAGAAGCAATTGTAAGGAAGCATGTGCCGCCATGTGGTTCAAAACTTTTATGTGTATGTAAAACTTCCAAGAAACTTTTGAATATTAATGACATGTTATAGAAATTATCTTGAAATGCATCTTAAATTTGATATAAAATTTAATAACTGTGTGGTGACTATCTCACCGCAACTAACATTTGCAGTCAATATACATTACATTTGATTGTGTGTCTATATACAAAAAGTAAAAGAATGACAATACTTTTTCTGTTAAGGAATTGAAAATTTTGTCAAAGTGGAGGAGGAAAGTACAAAAGGAAGATATATTACAATATTCACTGGGTGAAAGAAGGCTCTTTAACAAAGAAAAAAACAAGCACAAGAAAATAAATGCTATACATTTGTCAAAGAATTAATGGAGAATTTCTAGGGAAGATGCTACTCTCCTTGGAAGCAAAACTATCATGTTCTTCTCATCAAACAAGTGTATCTTTTCGTTGGAAGCAAAACTATATTTTTTATGGCAACTAGTTATTCTTTCTCTTCATATCGTTTTGTTTTGAACTTATTCATTGAATAAAATTAGATACTAATTCTTAACATCCAAGTATGACAGATATAGTTTCATAGCAAATTATACATGGGAGCTAAGTAGTTTTGGAAACTCTGTGCTTCTCTTAACATTCTTACATCATCTTAGAGACATAAAAGATCCTGAGCATCCCTATTCCTTGGAAGAGCTGAAAGTTATATCAGAAGATGCAATTGAAGTAGATGACAAGCATAACTGTGTGAGGTAGAGACAAATCCTCCTGTATTGGTGGAATTTGTAGTTCTTATAAATTAAATATGATTTTTTTTATTCAGGGTGACATTCACTCCAACAGTTGAACATTGCAGTATGGTAACGGTGATTGGCCTTTGCTTGCTAGTGAAACTCATGTGCAGCCTGCTTATGCGGTATAAGGTATGAGCTTTTGTTTTGTGATGGTACCTTTTTGTTTACAAATTACATATTCTGTATGAGTCCCATCATAGAGGATTGGAAGTTCATATGGTTGTGGTATGTTTCATTAATGCTTGTAGTGGATCCCATTGCGGATAAAATAGCATATCTTCAATGGTTTCTTTAGTCAGGTCTGATATCAAAAATGGATACAGATTTAAGCAAAAATAGAAATTAAGAAATTGTAGCCACCTAAAATTTGAGCCCGATCATAAAGCATATCTAGGTTAATAATTCTAAACCATGGTTCTGAGAACTTCCTTGTTATATTGATAATATTAAGGAATGGTCTTCACTATAACTATGGTTCTGAACTTCTACTGATCGCAGCAAGGTTGATGTCGTTTTGAGATGAGTAATAAAGATATAATGGGGAAGTTTTGGAAATGTTACTTCTAAACATGATTGCAGAAGCCACTTTGAATTCCTTTTTTGTGAAGTGTTGGCTTTATCTCCCCGGATGTCAAGCTAATAATTGTTTTTAAAAAACTGTTTCCTGTTTATAATTTGTTGTATATCATTAATTACATTTATAATCTGGTCGCACATCTCTCTCTGATTTAATCTGGAAGCACACTTCTACTTTGAGGGGGCTGAATTGAATTTGGTTTACTTGTGCTTCACTTCAATTGAAATATCCCACAATTGCTGTTGGTTTTGATTTAATTTTGTTGTCTTTCTATTTCTTGGTATCTCTTGTTATTGTAACAGTTGGATATCAGGGTAGCACTTGGAACTCATGCAAGTGAAGCTGTATCGATTTGATAATGAACCACGGTCTCCTGGTGATGCTCCTCAGGTTAGGATTTCATCTTGCTTTAAAATTTATTATTGTGACAATTCCAATTGTGTCGATTTCTTAATAATGACTATCAATATATATTTTTTTTTGAAGATTTACAAGATCTGTTACAATTTTTCCATGCAGAAGAGGGCGAAGACAATAAGGAAATTGATCGGCTCTTCAAGTCAGACAAGAAAAAGAAGAAAGGTGTGAGGAGTGTTGCAGAGATAGCATTTCTTGTTGAAAATGTTATGGCTAAGCTTGAAGTGGTGGCTGAAGAAGATGCAAAATTGAATAGACAGTCAAAACCTGCTACAACTAAACTCAAAAAGCCGCCTCTCCTTATGGAGGTTCTCTCAAAGTAAGATGATTTTCTCTCATTAGTTTCATTGAGATCATGTTTCCATTTTATTATTTATGGTTCTTATCTTGTTTC